ACACACACACACACACACACACACACACACACACACACACACACACAAATATACACTCCCCTTCCCTCCCCCCCACACAAAGTCTCACGGCCCTGAACACATCCTGGCCTTCCTCATGGTATAGACCAAGTGATCATCCTCCCCCCTGTTCCCAGAGAGGTTGCTTGGGGCCTCCCTAGAAGGATGCTGTGCCCTAAGACTTCCTCCTGCTATGCATCTCAGAGCACTGACCTCACCCCAACCCTGAGACTTAGCAGTTTCAATTTCATCCAGGACTGAGCTGGCTAAGCCTCTAATGGGGATCAGATCAAGACAGGATCCATCCCCTCCCTGCCCCGCCTGCACCAGTCCAGCCTGGCATATGGCCCCTGTCGGAGGTGGGGGTGGGGGAGGGAGGTTTCCATTGCTGGGAGAAGAGCCACATCCTGACCAGAGACAGACTCGGAAATAGTAAAAGACATAGAGAAACAAATACAGAGAAAGATATACACACACACTCAAACACACATACATACATATATACATACACACACACAAGGCTGCCCAGAGATCCAGAGACATGCATTCAGATGATCAGAGACATGTGTAGGGAAATACCCAGACACACTGAAACAGAAATGAGGATGATGATTGAAGACAGAGAGATACGTAGAAATAATTTCAGATAAAGGAGAGATAGGCATTCTCAAGAAAGAAAACAGAAAGCCTCCAATCAAGCTTTCACATACTTTCTGTCTCTTGTATCTTTTCTCTGTCTTTGGACTGCAGAGAGAAGGCCTTGGCTGGTTGCCATGGAAATTCTTCACTGGACTAAGCCCAAGCACCCCACTACCCCATAGTCCCAGCTTAGTTAACTATTTCCCCCCTCCCCCACAAGTCAGAAGCCATCTCCCAATATTGTAGGCACTTCTCCCCCCTACTCCACTGGGTTTGGAGTCAGAGGACCTAGGTTTGAATCTGGACTTTGTCACTTTCTATATGTGTGTGACTTTAGGCAAATTACTTCTCCACTCTGGGCCAAACCAGTTTGCTACTCTGTAAAATGAGAGGATTGATGACCGAGAAGGTCCTTCCATCTCTAGATTCTATAATCTAAATCCTAAGGCCTTCCCTATACAGAGAAGTCTCAAAACAGTTGCCCCCACAGAGTGAACTGGTCCTGCTGGAGAGATTTCTCCATACAGACAGCACCTCCCTCTAGTAAGTAACATTTGGGAAGTACCATTTCAGCAACAAACACACCTGAGGCATAGGAAGTTGAGATTCCCTAGAACACAGAGATGCAGAGACACAGAGACAACAGACACAGGGAGACAAATATAGAGACACAGACACATACAAACACACCCCTCCAGCCCGTCCTCCTCCCAACAATGGGGCATTGAGTGGTGGCGTCAGCGGCACGAGGGCTGCCTGCCACCACCGGGCCTAAGGCTCTGGCATTCCCACACCCCCACCCCTTTATGCCTAGAGAAAAGGGGATCCTGGAGTTCTGAGTCAGGGAATCAAGAAGCCTAGGTTACATTTGTGCTGTAAAGGTTTCTCTCCCAGACTATCCCTTCCTCTCCTCACAGTCCTGCCTCAGTTTACTCTCAGGGTAGCCCTCTCTATGGCAGTTATCCTTCTTTCTTGCCACCACCCCCACCCACCCACAGGATCCACATTCCTTATAAAGGCGATGAATTTGATAAACCTTGACCTCAAGTTTTCATTTTCCAAAGGTCTGCCCCACCCATCTCACCTGACCCTTTTCTCAACAAATTGTGTTGGGGGTTAGATGGAGCTTCAGCTGTTACCTCCAACAATTCTAGATGTTCCCCAGTGTAAGGTCCCTGATAATTTGTGAACCCCGAGTCTCTATATGACAATTTTTGCCTTGGTTTACTCAGGAAAGGAAGCCAAAGGCCCCAAAGTCTGACATGAGGGGGTGGTCCTTGGCTCTAGGGAAAGGGTCTTCCCTGCACACTCACTTATTTGCCTCTTTCATCACTGTAGAAGAGATGGGGAAGGACAGGGGCTTAGGGGTACATTGCTTCCCAATTTCTAGGAATATATGAACCCCTGGGCCTCCAGAGAGGCAGGAGGATTGCTAGCCAAACCCAACAGTGGCCCCAGGATAAGAGGTTAGTATGAAACCTCACAGGCAAAAGATCTTGGCAGGGAGACAAGGGGAACCAGAAAGAGAGGAGCGGTGTGTACAGGCTAGGAGAAGATATGGGGAGAGAGGTGCCTTGAGAGTCAGGGGTAGATAAGGGAGAGGGAGATAGAGGAGCTGAAAGAAAGAGACTGAGGCACAGAGATGAAGTGGCAGGGCAGAATATCTAAGGACAGGAGTATGAAAACAGGGGTGGTAGGGATAGAAATGGACAAGTACAGAGATATAGTGGATGAGACAAGCTGAGACAAATAGGGAAAGGGACAGGGAAACAGGCACCCTGGCTGGAACAGAAACACTGGAGTAGTGGACCCGCACACAGCTACAGGGCAGAGAGACATTAGGGGCAGAGGCAAAGCAAAGGGCAGGATCAGATAGAGAGGTACAAAGAGAGAGGGAAAGTACTAGAACCAGGGGCAGAGCAAACGGGAGTAGGGGTGGGAGGATGGGAGGTAAGGAGGGAGTGGAGAACAGAGTCAAAGACAGGGTAGGAAGAGCGAGGCAGAGACAGAGATATAGGTCTAGAAATGGGGACTTAAGAGATAGAGACAGCAAGAGAAGAAGACAGAAACAAAGGAAGGCAGACAGCGAGTCCAGGTACATAAGGGAGGTCGAGAGAAAGAAGGCTGCGGGCAGGAAGTCACTTGCGAGATGGGGCTGCCTGCTGGGCGCTGGCAGGAGCTGCCTGGAACCCCAGCGGGCTCGGCGTGGGTGGGGCCCGGAGGGGCGGGGCCTATGTGGGAGGGGCTCAGAGCCCGGGAACTGGCCAGCTCTCTGACTGCTGAAAACCTTCAGGCCTAGCCCGGCTGGGCGAGGCATGGTGGGGTGGGGTCTGGCGGGGCGGGGCCGAAGCACCGAGACGCGAGCGCCTTCTGCAGCCCCCGCGCTCGCTCCTCCACTGCTCGGCCCGCTCAAGGTCACCCCGAGGCAGAGCCCGAACCCCTTCGCCCCAGGACTCCCAGTTCAGTCTGAGGCCACTCCCCCTGCCGGTCACTAGCCTCGCTAGGTCCTACGGGTGGGGATTGAAGGGGGGGGGCCAGAAAGGATGGTGCCCTTTAGACACGCCCTGGGTGGGGGGGCAGAGACTGGATAGCAGGTGGATTTGGGGCTAGAAGAGGGCGCCTAGGGATCGATCTTTTTCTCCTAAAGAACCTGAACGGGGACTGGGTGGGGGGGCGGGTCTAGGGTCTGCAGGACTATGGTCTTCTGAAGAGTTTCGGGGCCTATAGGCCCCCAAAACCTATACTGGTGGTGGGGGATTCTTGGAGGTTTCGAAGGTCTTGGGGGTCATAGGTGCGTGGGACCCTAAATTGGGAAGCTTGGTACTGGGGGTGGGGGCTATGGGTCTTGGAGGGGCGTGGGGTTGGGTTGGTCCTACCCCTGCCGCAGCCCTCCCTTCCCCTCCTCTGCTGCTGCATTGATGACCCTCACCCCCATCCCCCACCCCCACCCTTGGTTCGTGGCCATCCTTGGGAAGAGGATGGGAGCCCCCACCACCGTGAACCACTTCTCCCGCCCCCCCTCCCTTCCCCCCCCCCCCCCCCCCCCCCCCCCCCCCCCCCGCCCAAACCCGAGGCGGCTGCGAAGGAGTCCGCGCAAGACGGCGGCGGCGGTGGCGAGAAGATCCGAGAAACAAAGAGATGTCTCGGGCCGGGCCCGCGGCATTCCAGCAGGGCGGGCACAGCGCCCCCAGCCCCCCCACCACCCGCCTGGCCCCCGCCCCTCCTGCCGCAAGGTCGACCGGGCGGAGGACAAACGCCGCCCCCTCCCCCCGGAACCCGCCTGGTCCAAGACCCCGGAATCTCGATGTAACGACAGTCCTTGGACACACCCGCCTTCCCCCCTCCCCCAGAGAGCAATAGCGCCCCCGCTCAGTGGCCCACTCCCTGAGTCTGCCACCGCCGCTCCCCGGGGCCCTGCGCAGCGCAACGCAGCCCCACCCGGCCCGATTCCCCCATTCAGGCCCCATCTTTCCATCTCCATCTCCCCGGGTTCCATCCCCCAAGGATGCAGGCTCCCATTGGATCTAGGCCCACATCTCCATCCATCTCTTCCCGTCCTCCCCCCCCCCCCCCCCCCCCCAGTTCAACCAACCCATACCGCCGAAGCTGGAGCTTGGATCCAAACCCATTTACCGCCCCCCCCAATCCCTGAGGCCCCATCTTCTTCTCATTTTAGTCACCCCTCCCTTCACAAGGACTTTCGGCCCATCCCTATACAGCATCCCCCCAATCTCTACCCCAAAAGGATTCCCCTCTAACCTGCGCTGGGACTCGGGACCAACCCTGTCCGTCGCCTCCCCTCCCAATCTTCCAGGCCAGTCCCCACCCTCAGTTCCACTCTATTATATATCAATCTTCCTCCCCCATCCAGGCCCCATTTTTATTCTCCCCCCTTCCCAGGCTGTCGAGCCCTATTCCTTTCTCCCTAGGGCCCTCCATTCCCATTCCCCCCCCCCCGTCGTTTCCCCCTCCCTTCACCCTTCTAACGCTCGGGCCCATTCTTACCCTCCCCCCACCAGGCCCATGAGGCTCCTGAGTCCGCAGCGCTTCAGCATCCTCAGGCAGGAGGAGAAGGGGGAGGGGACCCAGCATGGCCTCACAGTGTGGGGGGTGGAAGGGTGAGGTGGACGCCCAGCAAATCGACCCTTTCTTCACTTCCCTCCTCCAAATGCCCTATCATCCTCCAAATCCGCCACCCCTCCCCCCCACCCCATCCCTTCGCGAGCCGCTCGTGCGGACAGAGGATACCTACAGTGACCATTCTTCTGGGTCCGGCGGGCGCGGTTTTGGCTAGAGGCGGCTCTGGGGGGCCCGGATTCGGGCGTCCGTCAGCCCAGAGGCCCCGGCACCATGCGAGGCCCGCGGCCTGAGCTTCACCGCTCGTTAACTCCGGAGGCGGCCGCTCCCTCGAAGAAGGGTTGGGGAACTGGGGGATAATCGGGAGGACCGAGGATAGCGGCGACAGCAGCGATCCAGGAGGCCCAGCCCTGATGAGAAGGCGGCGGCCGCGGAGGAGGGAGAGGCGAGAGCGTGAAGATGGAGTTGGGGGGGCGGCGGCGTCGGGGGGGGCGGGGGAGGTGGTGACGCCCCCGGCTCTGCCCAGCTAGCTCTGGGCTGCTAGGGGCGGGGGGGCCCCGGGGAGGGGGAGCTGCGGTTCCCAAAATAAATAGCGATGCTCCTCCCTAGCCGCAGCTGTAGCCGCCGCCCAGCCCCGGCCCCGGCCCTGCTTGTCCCCGCTCCCCGCCCGCCCGCCCGCCCCGGCCCCTGCCCCGGCCCGCGCTGTGAGCTGCGCGCTGTGTGTCGCGGCGCCGCCGCCCCCGGCCCTTTATACCACCAGCTGCCGCCGCCGAAGCAGCCCATTGGCTGCTCTGTGCAAGGGTTCCCCCCGCCTCCTCACCCGGCTACCCTGCTCCCCCTCCCGGCCCCCAGTCAGCTCGGCAGGTGGAGGCAGAGACGCGCCGTCCAGGCCCCCCGCAGCCCCGCTGCTCCCCAAGACTGACTTCAAGTCTGTCTCTTGAATTTTAGTCTCTCCCCTTCCTGGTACTGTCCCATTCATTCATTTACTCTTTTTAGTCCGACATCTATCCCCTTTGCTCTTTCTCACCCTACGACGGGGTCATCTAGGGCAGCCCTGCGAGATTCGGCTAGAAAGTACTCTCAGGAAATCTGGAACCCTCTCTTTCGTGTGTAGGGAGGAAGAGTCAGCTGGCTAGGCCTGGGGAACGGGTGTGAAACAAGGACCATTACCACGCAGGGTCACAATGATCACGAGGAGCAGTGACCAGATTCTGGGAAAAGGGGAATCCTCTTCTGTGACACCTTTAATTCGGACTAGCCTGACTCTCTATGTTTGGCTCGGTATTCCTTTGCCTTTCTGCGCCCCTGCTTCTCTCTTCAATTCCACAAACATTTATTAGCATCATATACAGGAATTGGGGGAAAAAACGAAAAGTCTGTGTCCTGAAAGAGCTTACATTCTAATTCTGTCTCTCTGCTTCTGTGACCAGGCTCCTTTTGAGGTGTTGGTAGACCTTGATGGAGGAGTCTGAGAAAGCAAAATTATTCTTGGTACAAAAGAGTGCATAGAGAAAACCACATTATTTTCTGGACAAAAGGATAGCTAGAGACCCACCTGGTGTCTCTCTAATGTTGCCGTTTTCCAAATCCTGCATTCTATGTAATTAAAGAGGACAGCCGGCGTGGGACTCTCCAAGAAAGAGGACCTACGCATCGGGATCCCGTCGAAAGAGGGGAAACTTTAGGAGTGTTCATCACGCTTTGGACCCTGAATCTCGACCCCCAAAGTTCCCTGGCAAGGTAGGGAGGGGTGCGGGTTGTGTCGCAGCGCACCCCTTCGGGTACGTTGAGGGCTACGAGTCCAGGGACAGGAACAGACAAATTCAGAAGGAAAAGCCACAGTAGCCTGAGCCCAGAGCAAAAGGCCGCTTGAAGATCCTCTTGACTGAAGAAGGGGCGGAGTGAAGGAACCTGGCTCGGGCGGGAGGAGGGGGTGGAGCAGAGAAGAGCAACCTCCTCAGACTACTGTGAGTCTCCCAGGGGCAACCCTAGGTCTCTGGATGGGGGGTGGGAGGAGAGGGGAAAATCAAGGCTTAGCCAATCACAACTCCAAGCCCGGAAAGCCTAAGAACCACGTGGATCCCCCCCCCCACAAACTTAGGGTGGGCGGATCCTACATAAAAATGAACACAGGTTCCCGGCTTCTAATTGGCAGGGTAAACTACCGTCATACTCTCAGGCCCAGGGGAACCCATGGCCACTCCAGGCGGAGACCAGGCTGAGCTTCCAGTGCATGTATATGTCCTCAAATATCTGGATAGATAACTATATGAGTTCGCATATGTCCAGACGTACATACACACACGGACGGAAAAATACACACATGCATAGGCATATACACGACCACACACACATGCTTGCGCCGACAATCACATACATAAACACGTGTTCACATCCGTGCACCAACATGTGCAGAATGCACACATTTAGACAAACTTCCGGCTGAAATTAGTGACGGCTAAGACGCCACCCTCCCCCTTCCCTCATAGCCTCGGGCCTCCGGGACCCGAACAATAGGAATCAGTCCCACTCTAAGGAGAAGAAACGTAGCAGCTGCCTCTATTCCTCTCCATCTCTCCGTCCCGCCCCCGAAGCCTTTGTTCCCAGTCCCCAGTCTCTGGATTTTTGTTCGGCTCTTCCTAGCCCACCCCTCTTTAACTTAGAGATGGAAGGCTCCTTTCCGGGAGGTGACCATCCCATTAAGCCCAGCTTCAGCACCATAGACAGCGCGCCACGACGGCTCCGTCCGCGTCCGCTCTTAAATCACGCGCAGGGCGCCTGGATTTCAGTAGCAGCTCCATTGCGGAGGGAAGCTCTTCTTCCGCTCTCCCACTCCTCGCCTGTACTATAACTTTTGGGATAGAGGCCGAAACAAAAGGAGACTGAGAAGCAGAGGGGCAGGGTCTACCATCATGTCCTAGTCTTGCCCTGTAGTTCAAATATCACAGATCATCTTCACGCAGAACTCCGCACTACGGTTGCCATACCCTTCTTTCTTGGAGCATCCACTGAACAGATGGAAAATCGCCCAGTCAGGGAAAGTCATGGAAGAAACCAATTGTGGGCGGATGCTCACGTCGAAGGACCTAGAGCTAGCCAATCACGAAGTGGACAACAGGGGGCGCCGCCGGAGTATTGGCTACAAAGGCCAATCACCTTGACACATAGGAGAAACCAATAGAAGGCTCTTGAAGGATACCCCCTCGAGGGCCACACTTCGTAAGCTCTGGACTATGGGGT